AGAGCGAGGGATTGGGGCTGGGACAAGCTGCCCAGCTGGGGCGGGGGGGTGTATTACTCACAGAGGGAGGCAGGGGGATGCAGGCGCGACAGCACTCAGAGCAGGGGCTTGGCCCTGCTGCCGCTTGCGCAGCCAGGGTGGGGTGGGGGAGGGATGCGGGCATGGCCCACTCCAGATGGAAGGGGGCAAGCAGCACCAGGGTTTAGCCCCCACTCCCAGCACTGCTGCACCTGCATCCCACACCCCCTGCCACACTGGCTGGTAAGTGATGACAGTGCACAGTCCCCACACCCAACACTGATGTGGGTGTGGCAGTGCTCAGAGTGGGGGCTCTGCCCTGTTGCCTCTTACCAGCCAGCACGGAAAGGGGTGGGAGGGAGTGATTCAGACACAGCTCGATTCAGGCAGAAGGGGGCAAGTGGCAGCATGGCATAGCCCCTGCTCCCAGCACCACCACGTCCACATCAGCGCTGGGAGTGGGGGCTATGCCCTGCTGCCACTTACCCCTTTCTGCCTGGAGCGAGCCATGCCTGCATCATGCCCCCTTGTCTGCGCTGACTGGCAAGCAGCAGCAGGGCAGAGTCCCCACTCCAAGTGCTGCCACGCCCGCATCCTGTGCTCCCCCGCCTTCCTCCCCGAGTAACATGCCCTATTGCCCCAGCCTGGCAGCTTGTCCCAGCCCCAATCCTTCCCTCTCCCCTCCCCCAACCCCACCAGACTTACCAGCTGGAGGCAGTTGTGTCAGCTGCCTGTTTAGTCTATGGCCAAATTGCTGAATCTTTTCCAAATCTTTTTCCGAATCAATTCGGATGTTTCAAATTGATTTGGAGCTTTTAATTTGTCTCCCGATTCTATTCAGATTTGGAGATTCAGTCACCGAATCAGGCCGAATCTTCTCCGAATCAAATCGGCCACACAGCCCCAGTGGCTAGTACTAGTTCTTAGAATCTCCACTATATGCAAGGGGCTTCAAAATGGAAATAAATGGAATAAGTACCTTCTGAGATTTACTACTCTTTTACTTCTCAATTCTATCTGATATAGATACTGAGAACAGTTATATACATGCCAAATTTTTCTTGGGCATTCAGAAGACCTATATAGGAGTAAGCACTGCCATATAGAGAGTTTTAATCTGTGGTATCCTTTTGAAGATCCATGTTAAATTCCTTAAATACTGTATTTTCCATTTCAGTGGATATCATAATTCCAAGACGTACTGTTGGCTTGATATATAATTATTATATTTTTAAAACAGAACAAAGGACCTAAAATAATTCAATCACTGATTCAAATTCACTGATACCTTTTCTCAAAAATTAAATATATGTAGCTTAATTAGGTACTGCTGATTTGAATCAATCAGTCATACTGGTGATCAGCAGGGATCCTGGTTTTCTCCAAGTAAAAAAACTTTCCAAATTTTTGGACATAACCCGCCCGCCCCCAATTCATGTTTATGGTTTCCATCAAAACTCACTCATACATCACAGGACCACTGTGTATTATAGAATCAGAAAATCTTTAAAAAACAGGGTGGAAAAGGATCTTGGAAGGTCTTCTGGTCCAAACTTAACATAGGAACATCCCCATCTAAACCATCCCAGATAAATATTTATCTAATTAAAAATCTCCAGAGATGGTGATTCTACAACCTCTCTAGGTAATCTATTCCAATATTTACCTACTCTCCTATACCTAGAAAGCTCTTCCTACTATCCAATCTAAATCTTCCTTGATGCAATTTAAAATAATATCTTGTCCTGTCCCCTATGGACACAGAGGACATCCTCTTTATAATTGCTGTCCTCTTTGTTACAACCTTTTTTCAATTTGCTTTTGAAAACTGTTATTACATTTCTCCTCAGTCTTCTCTTCTCCAGACTAAACTCAATTTCTTCCAACTTTTCCTTGTATGTCATGTTTTCTAGTGGGGGTAAGTATGTTCAGAACCATCCAGAAACACTCTGCAGGATGAGGCACATATAAATAAATACAAAATAATACAAGTTAGACAAGGAAAGAAAATTGCTTATGGTATGTGTCAGCTTGATCTTCCTGGATTTTTGTGCATTTAAAAATCTAACTTTTAATGTCACATTTGTGACATTTATGACTTTTAAAAATATGCTACAGTGATCACTCCAGGCATTGTATTTTAAAACCTGACTTTATGAATCACTTACTTAGATTTGCTTCTTCATTACCATCCATCTTTCTCTTGATGGGACCATAAGAGACAGTGCGAGTAGGAAATGATGATGCATCTCTCTTATTTCTAAGAATTTTGCCATAATTAGTACAATTCTGGTAAAACAAATTGCAAACAGTAAGTATTCTCACTTATATGCACAAATCGTTCCCAAAAGGAGGTTAAGGAACTCACATTCACATTCCTTAGAAATAAAATTCACATTCCTTAAAAACTCACATTCCTCACATCACCTTAAAAACCTCTCATTAGATGAAACAATTCCACCAACTTTGTAAACAGAAAATGTTAGTGATAAGACCAGAGAGGACAGTGACACCTATACATACAAATCCATATTTAATGTAAAATTAGAGAGGAACAGGGCTGGAAAGTATGTCAAGGAAGTCATTTAGTCCAAGTCCCCTCCTTAGGGCAGGAGCATCCCTATCCAAACCATCTTAGCCAAGTGACTACTCACATGCGTCTTGGAGTTTATAAAGACGGAACATTTGTGAGTCAGGTAACTCATAACAGAAAACAAAGCTGTCCCATATAGGTCACTAGCTCATATTTATCTCAGATCTGTAGTGACTTGATTTTGCAAACATGTATGTGCTTTTCTATTCTGATGGGCCATGCCATTCAGGGCAGTATGCTTTGTTGTGATCGAGGTTAAATTGTCACCATCTGGTGGCTATTCAGTGATCTATACAAATGAATGTGGTGGTCTATGTTTAACTTCAAGGTGACAAAAAAAAGCACAAAAAGCATCACTTTCATAACAGAACCATAATCAGCATCTTTTTTGCCCTTCTCAGCAGAAGGAAAAATGACTGAATAGATCTGAAGATGAAAGGGCCCTGCAACCTGACATGATTCCTCCAGTTTACCAGCACATCAGGGAACAGCTTGCATTGCTGCTGATTACTGCACTTATTCTATGGTGTTCTGTACACCTGTCAACAAGCACTAAAGTCATTTAGTAAAAAAATAAATAAAAAAATGAGATATTAGTGTTCAACAAACAAATGATCAGCTGAGATTAATTTGTTCTCATGTGTATACACATGCACAGCAACAGCAAGAGGAATTAATGAGATTCAAGACAGAATATTTGACTCAGCTTTAGGGCTCTTGCCTAACTATCTTAATGCACAGACTCCAGCTGCAAAAATATTGCAGAATTAGTACCAGCTACTCTAATAACTTATTAGATACAGTAGTGTGTTAAAATCTGCTTTCTGGACTGCAGAATATGAAATATTAGGATAATAATTACAAGTTTTACATGGTCTATTTTTTCCTTTTTTTTTTAATTGGGGAGGTCAAGGCATGCCCACTGAGTTCAGTTAGTTACTTTGCAAACTCCAGCAAGTGTTCCCATTTCTTTTTCTCAAATGTTGACAGGTCTGGTTAAAGGAAACCACCTGCTTCCTTAGTAGAAAAATACATTATTTCTCAGTAAAGCCTATATAAAGGGAATATATGTATCAAGAAATCTCAGCTCTGCTTAAGTTTTGGTGCATTGCAGATGCAAAGGATAGTTACTATGACTGTTGTAAGAATGGCTGGCACCCGGCTAGCTTTGCATAACAAAGCTGGAATGGATCAATCACAAATGGATGAATCAGGGACATTTCTGCCAGTTTAATAGGCACAGCATTCAGCCTGACATTGACAAACTCCAGAAGCGAGTAATGCTGCTGAGAAGATGGATGGCTGTATAGCAATACTGCAATAAATGTACACATTTAAAAGGTTATTTCAGAAGGTCTTGTGTAGGACTCTTCCAATTTTAATAAATTTAGCTTCTTCATTAAGCTTTCTTTTCACTCTTATCCACCAAAACAATTAACTTGATCCAGCCAAGAGTCTCTGCTTTTACGGAAGATGATATCTAGTCTGAGGAGGAAATGTTACCTCTCTTGAAGTCACAGGTCAAGTCAGGTTATCTTACACTTTCCTCTTTTCTAAGGGCAAAATTTAAGACTTTTCCAAAAAAACAAGTCAGTATAGTTCTTGGCAGGGGTATCAGGGGAACCCCACTGAGCAATGACTATGAATATCTTAACATCCTTTTAGGGGAGTGGGATTTTCCCAAAAGCATGGTCACTTGGGAACAAATCCTGAAAGGGTTCCTGGGCTGAATGCATGGAATCTCCTTAGCAAATAGCTATATAGTTTAAAAGATCAATTCATATTGAAAAATAAGGATCGGGAATCAAGAAAAACTTTCAGCATCAATAACAACAAAGATCAGGAGACAGAAATTCTACCCCTTTCACGGTCTTGCAATACACTTGGACTGGACATCCAGGTCAGCTGCACAGACAAAAATAAAACCCCATTCCATTGGTTGGGCACTGAGCATATCAGTCCCTCCACCCACAGCTGTGCAAAGGAGTTACTAGGGTGAGAGTTATTCTCACTTCACAAACACATGTGCTGATGGTGGAAATCTGTGAATGCCCTGAATAATTGAGTTGTCCCAATGTCAGAAGAAAGCTAACTCACAGGAGTTGCCCAGTGCCTCCTGGGCAAATCTGCAGTTTACAGCAAAAAGGAAAATACTGAAAGCATTTTATAACAGACCAAATTTTCTACTGAACAATGGGCACCTACATCCTCCCAAATTTTGTTACCTCAGGACACCACAGGTGTTTTCATCTCAGGGCATGTTTTATAGAGTTTTAATAGCACAATTTTATTATGTTAGTGTTCCAAAAACTGGAGGAAAAACTGTTTGTCAGCTAAAGAATAATAAAAATATATCTACACTACAGGCCAAATTCAGGCATAGCTTCATGGATTCAGTGACACTGTAGCTTGAACTTCAGACACTTTCAAATTGTCCCTATGTTTATTTGGCCCAAATTTGTAGGGCCCGATTTTCCTCTCACATCAGTTTTATACATTCAGATGACTAGTGATTTCAGCTAATCCCAATTTACATCAACGTAAAGTTAGGAAAAAGAATAAGGCTTCAATTTCTTTTCTTTTTAAAATTCCCATGACTTAAAAATGTCTGTGGATTTTTAATATTTAGAATATATGTACTAAACCAGGTGCAAATCTGAATTACTCAGTTGTTGTCTTTTGAAAAATCATTATTTTTCCTGATGATGTTGTATGCCCAAAATTTTGAATCATGAAGGTGGTAAGAGAAATGGCTGATTTTTTTTTTGAATAACAGGGTTATAGAAAAAAGTGTTTTGTTGGTTTGTTTCTGTTTTACAAATAAAAGGGTTTTTTTGGTTTAAAGGAAGTGCATATTATTTAGATTTAAAAATATCTGACAGGTGTTTAGCAATAAATGATACACGAATCAGTGGTCAGAAACAAACCCTACATGGTCAGTGGCAGACTTTACTAGTGGTGTTGATATACTGTCTTGTGACTTTCAGTACTAGCATCTGGTTTTATTTGAGGCAATTTCCAAAATGTCATACTGACTTCTGCTTTGATTTCTTTCTCTGCTTAATGTCAGCTTGGTGGCCTTTTAGAGGTAATTCTGAAGAAACAAGCCAACATATGAAGCACTGTTATTATTCTGCAGCTGCTATTAATGACTAAACAAGTATTCACACTGACATTACAGCCTGAACCACAATGTCTCACAAGTATTGAGAAAACTGTACAGTATCTTCCCTTATGTCAAAAAGATTCCTCTTTTGTTCTGTCTGTTGTGATGAAAGATACAATCAGTTTTATTGCTAATAAGATAGTAAGAAAACATGCATCTACATACACAGTTTTAGGTAAAAGTGTACTTCTGAGATGGAATATTATGTTGCTCCCATTAGAAAACTTATATTTCAACAGCTTATAATTCATTAACTGAATGCTTTTAAATGTCAACTAGTTATAGCTCCTGTTAGATCCACTAATATTTAATGCTCTCATACCATGTTACATCTTCTGATCCAAAGGAAGCAAGTTCATGCTATACATTTTTCTGCTATAACATACATGTCTAAATTAAGCTGTAAGCTTCCAGAAGCCTGGCCCTTGTCTTCTATATGTGTTTGGATATTGCTGGGTACACAGCTCTAAAAATAATATTAAATATCAATCCAAGTTATGTGACATTACTCAGGCAAACACTCATTGGTTTCACTGGAAATTTTGCCTCTGTAAGGGGTAAAATTTTCTATTTTGTGTTTGGTTCATTTGATTTATCAGCATAAACATTAATTTTAAATATAAACCTTTGCTGACTGTTCCTAGGTTTAGAATTACTATTCTCACTTTGCAGGTGGGAAAGCTAAGGCAGAGAGGTTAGGTCTCTTGCCCAAACGTCTAAGTGGCAAAGATTACAACTTAGGAGCTTCTGATTGCCAAGCCCATATTCAGTCTACAACACAATACAGTTTCCTCAGCTTGGTCTAACAACAACAATTTCATTCCTATCCTCCTGTCACATAAAAATAATCCAAACCTTACCGGTTTGCAAACAGCAGGTGTATTGTGACAGATCTGAACTGTGCAGTGCAAGAACACATCATTGTAAGAGATACCAACAAATTTGAACATCTGGATCCTAAACATTGCATCTGCACTTTCTCCATTCATGATAACTGACAGCGTTTCATCCTTGATAACTTGTGGGCAGCTATGTAAAATAAAAGGTATGCAATAATTAGTCTGTTACAGAAACATGATGTATCAAACACTAAAGGTGATTTTACCCAACTAATGGCTGCACTTGTTGTTTGTACATCTGTCAAACTGATTAAAGAACGACTGGTCATATTTTTTAATGATTAAAAGATACTTTCAACCCAAACTCATTTTTTCATTTTTTGTTGTCTTTTGTTTTTCAGATAATATTGATACTTTTGTAAACTTTTTGATGCAAAAAATCAACTATTTCAAACCAAACTTTTTATTTTTAAAATGCTTCCCATTTTCTGCTTTGTCTCGCTCCTTTCTCTCACTTTTTAAATATTCCTTTTTTCTTTTCCCCCTTTATTCCAGTGGAGAGAAAATATGCAAGAATATAGGCGGGAGAAAAAAAAATCAAGCCTCTTACTTCATATTCTTTCTTCTTTTCAAATGCAGAAATAAAGGACAATCATAAAAGTAAGAGAACCAGTAGAAATCTGAATTAATTTTTAATTCAAGATTAATAGAAGATTTTTCACCACATTTAAGAACTTGAACTGAAACAATTTCTGAAAGTGTTGAAATGAAACAACAACATCTTCTGAAAGTTAGCATTTCCATTTTGACAAGCTCTCCTGAAGACAAGACAGAAAATTGGAACATTTCCTGGCTTAAAGGCAAGAAGTTCTATTGGGTAAGCTCATAAGAGCTTCCTTTGCACCAAACTATCTTCTGTGATAAATGCATCTCACATGGAATTCATTTTTTGTATCCTTACAATATTTTTGTTTCCCTTTTTTTAGAAGGGTAAATAAGGAAAGACATTCAACGTCTTTCAGTTAAAAAAAATTATATTATAAAGATGGCAATCAGTTGTTTTCTATGGCCACAGGGAAAAGGACAAGAAGAAGGAAGCTTAATTTCCAGTGGAACATTTAGGCTGATATTAAGAAAAAACTGTCAAGATAATGAAACACTAGAAGCTAGCTAGGGAACTTGATAAATTTGCTTCACTGGAGGGTTTTAAAAACAAAGTTAGACAAACAATTACTGGAGATGGTCTAAGGTGTACTGGGCTCTGCCTCAGTGCCCAGGGCTGAACTAGATTATCTCAGTTTTACACCACAGCTGTGCCATGCTGAAGCCAGGACGGCCTCAAGCACACCCAGCCCACCTGCTCCTGTAGGCGCACTCCAAATCCAGAAATATGCTAGTGAGTATGCCTTGTGGTAATCCCCAGCAACAGTCGAGCACACCAGAGACCAAAGCTTCAAAAGCAGCTGCAGAAGGATATCCTGGAGTGTCTTCATGCTGTATTTTTGGTTTTAGAGTGTGTCAGCAAGAGTTGGCAGATAGAGCATTCTTGGAAATACCCTGATGGAGCCACGCTGCTGCCACAATATAGATAGGCCCTCAAGGTCCCTTCCAGCCCTATCTTTCTATGAGTCGGTGATTTAAAGCAGGGCTGAAAAAAGAACCCCTATATTTTTTTGCGAACATTCACTCCTGTAAAATACTCAATTAGCTTCAGTTATGTTCACTTCATGTGTGTTTATGCAAATATTCTTGTTTACTGGCAGGGGCATTTAAAAGGACAGCATATTTTTAGACAATCTACAATTGCTCAGAAAATAGAGTTTACTTTTCCCCTGGACAGTGCCCAAACAACAGCCAAGTACTGCAAGCTGAACTGTTTTAGCAGACTGCATCTCTCATAATGCAGCACACTACCTGCTCTCAATCACCCTTTGCCCTGAGAGGCACAGTCTAGCCAGAGAGACCTGGTCATAGAGGACAAGAGGTACATAAAGCACCCAAACTCCACATCCAGCAAATATGGTTCCATTTTGAATTAAAATATTTTCGGATTTGACCAAAATACTTTGGATTTAGGGACTTAAGTTTTTTCACTGAAATATCGAAATTGCTACCAGATATACAACACTGTGGGGAAAAACAATGGACGTGTCAAAAGCCCAATTTTCCTTTGAAGAATAATTTTGGAAAAATAATTTTGAACAACCCTAGTTTTCTTTCTTGTTTCTGAGCCTACACAGCACATTCGCGTCATGTTTTCAACCTTTTTTTCTGTATTCACGAAGGCTAGAAACTTACTTTTCTTAAAAATGAATGTTGGGATGTTAATGTTATCCCATTAGTCCAGCAACTGAGGTTTAAGAAAAATATTAAGCCCTGTAAGACTAACAGTAAAATGGCAAGGGTAAAGCAAATTTTGAACCCAACACTTCAGCATTCATACTGGGCATCGCTATATATGCAATGAATGCACCTGAATTTTCTGCACAGAAGATTCAGGCATATTAGGGCACATATCTGCATGTGCGTCTGCACCACAAACAAACTGAGCCTGACAGGAGCAGCATAGTCCAGGGCTGCTCCTGCCCTGCTCTGGCCCCCTGCATAAGCCAAAGGGAACTCCAGACTCCCCCAGGTATTATTCCCTAGCTGGCAGGAGGTATGGGGTCAGGCCTGCACTTTGGGCGGTGGGGAGAGCTGTCCTAGCTCTTGGGGTAGCTCTCTTGCAGCTGTATGGAGATTGGGGCTGGCCCTGAGCCCTGGGGGGCAGAAAGAGCTCCAGGGGAAGCCTCTTTCCCACCACAGGGAGATAGGGGCTGGCCCCAAGTCCCAGGGAGTGGGGGGAGTTGTCTTGGCTCTGGGGGACACTCCCTTCCAGCCCCATGGAGATCAGGGACAGCCCAGACCCCTGAGGGGCAAGGGAAGCTGTCCCGGCTCTGAGAGAAGCTCCTTCCCAGCCACAGGGTGATTAGGGCTGGCTCTGAGGAGCAAGGGAAGCTGTCCCAGCTCTGCGGGCAGCTCCCTTCCAGCCTCTGAAAGATAGGGGCAGCCCCAAACCCCAGGGCATGGGGGAATTGTTCCAGTTCTGGGGACAGCTCCTTTCCAGCTGCAAAAAGCTGGAACAGCTCCCCTTGCCCTCCAGGGCTTGGGGCCAGCCCCAATCTCCCTGTGGCTGGGAGGGAGCTGCCCCCAGAGCTGGAACAGTTCTCTCCAACTCCCTGCCAGGGCTCGGGGTTTAGCCAGGGCTAGATTAACGCATAGGCAAATGCCTAGGGCCCTGAGCTGCAGGGGGCTCCAGTCATTCCCTTGGTGGCACCAGCGTGAATGGCCCCATCCGCCTCCCTTCCCTGGCCTCACTGCTGTGGTGGCTGCTTTCTAGTGGCAGCTCAAGCCCTGCTCCCCACAGGCAGCAGCACCAGGGTGGGGAGGGGGTCTTGACTGGCCCAGGGCTCATGAATTTGTTTGCCTAGGGCCCACTAAAGGGTTAATCCGGCCCTGGGCTTAGTCAGACAGCAGCTGTGGCCCTCTGCTGCCTGGGCTGACAGGAAGCAATTTGTTCTTGGTCAGTGTCTACACATGCACTTCCATATATTAATTTAAAGCACTGTTTTCTAGTACCTGTAACTAGCAAATGACGCTTTAATTTACTGCACAGTAATTGCTGCGCACATGTAGATGGTGATGCTTTACTGTGCATTAGATTAATCTAATGTGCAGTAAAGTGTCTCATACAGACATGCCCACTGAGGGCTTGATGCTAAGAGTTGTACTCATCCAACTGAAGAAAAGAAATAGCACCATGAATTCAATGGGGATGATCAAAACTAACCAACAAAATTTGAGTTTCTTCAAATATCAGATAATTACAATGAATGGGTTTACAAGCCTATTAGCAGGCCAAGATTTATTCATAAAACTATGACTACCCTAAATCTCATAAAGCAAACCTATGCAGGTTTAAGTTACATGTTAAGGACTCTAGATCTGTATCAGACCACATCCCAACCTCTTTCCCTTCAGAGGACAGTGAAAAAAAAGCAAAAAAGTTGTTTAAATGTGCTTAAAGTGTTCACTGACACCATTCCACAAATCTGCAGAAGTTCACATTTGTTATAGAAGTTGATGCTATGTTCAGACTTAGACAGATCACACAGTAGCGGTCTACAGTTAGTTCATGCTTTCAACTTTTTTCTTCCCAACTGTAAGGCTTAGAGACATATTTTAAAGAAATGGAAGCTTAAAAAAATAAAAATAAGCTACTTTTAAAAATTAAAAATAAAATGTTATGGCCACTTAAGATCATATGGTAATGTAGGTAGCTACATAATCACAGTACAGAACTGATGTATTTTCAGTAGGGGCTGTTAAAGCCAGTTTGCATTCTTAGATTTTCTTTTGTCACAAGCTGGAATGAAAAATGTAAATGTTGACATTTGCTACGAAATAAAGATGTCATTTAGAAATACGAAGTCTACATTACTAAAATGCTTCATTTCAATTAAGTCAAACCTTATCATTTTGAATTTTTCTCCAATATATCATAATACTCAAAATAAAGTTGAAATGCAGTACTTCAAACTTATAGTAATATACATGGATAAGTTTTGTTGAAAATGTAAACCATTCATAATGCTGGAGGATCTCTCTTGGGCTCATTGTAAAGTACTATGTTTGCAAAAATTATTTGGCTTCATTTTACTATGCATTGTTTATACACTTCAAAGGATTTATTAAGGAATCAAATATGTATTGATAAGTTTTGTTGAAAATTTGAACCAAAGCAACATGTCTCTATGGAATGTTTACATTTTCATGGAACCAGCATTTGCCAAAGGAAAATTACTCCTTAAAAGCATTTCAACCAGCTCTGAGGTTTAAGACAATACATCTAGTGCATAATGTTATGATACAAACCTTTGTTCTATAAAAGAGTACTGAACTGCATGAGAAGGATTCCTCGCTGGTGTGGACCAGCAGTTTTCAAGGCGGATTATTAGATGGCCTGGAACCTGTCAGAGGACAGAGACAAATTAATATGATGAATGCAGCATTCTGCCTTTAAGATACATTAGTCTCATCTTTACCTAATCTGAAGAACTCAGAGAAGCTAATGATGTAACAAATGATTACATCAAACTCTTTTCAAGATACAGATGCATGTTAATTAGAGGCAGGTCATTTTTCCCCCCCTATGAATATTACATTCTGTGAAAAATTTGGGAAGGGAGGGTTGAAACCTCTCCCAAATTTGGATTGATTTCAGCCAATAATTTTGTCTAAAAGCAAAGGGAAAATTAGATGCTTTGAAACATTTTGTTTCAACATTTTCTTCTAAAAAATGACTTTTTTTTAAAGTGTTCCAGCCCTCCCTCCATGATAAACAGAACATTTAATTTCAGGTAGAATAAAATGTCTTAAATTGACCTGAAACTGATTCTACCTCCCTCCCTCCCCCTGCCAATCCTCAAAACTCCGTGGTTTTTAGGGAGAACGCAAAAGAAAAAAAATACTGGTTTGGTTCAACTACAAACGAGACTGAAAAATCCATTGCACACACATTGCTAGTTGAGAGCCCTACAAGCCTACTAGAAACATTAATACAGAAGTTTCTATATACATCAATACAGTATTAAAGACACTGAACATCTAACTTACCAACATGGCCTTCACTTGTGACAATTTTTCAGGCCATTAAAATATTAAAAACAATTAAAAGCTTGCATTTTTTCATATATAAACATAAGCACATCTAAATTTAGCATTAAATATTGCCATAGATCTGCATTTGAAAATGCAGTATGGTAGGGACACATAGCTGGGAACAGGCTGTGGGAGCAGGAGAGGCTGTTGGAAAATTTATGGGGTGCGCATATAAATTGTCACAGGTGTGGGGCACAGTGGAGATCTGTTGTGATGAACCTTTCATTGCCCAAGAGTGGAGCTCTCTTTTGACAGACCATAGGAGGTTCATTACACAAGTGCTGGATGTGTAAGAGAGTGACCAGAAGAGTGGAGGTGGTAGAGGGACATCCTGGAATACCCTAATCTATAAACTTTAACAGACTTGCTCAAATTCACCAGAATGAGGACTTCTATCTAGTGAATCACAAGTTCATCAGAGGGGCTGCCTCCAGAGTGAAAATTATAGCTCCTTCCTGAAACATCATGATCTTTAAGTATTCATCTCTCCATGCCCCCATTCTTATAATCAAGGTGAAGACATGGTGGAAGCAGATAAGATGATGGGTAAATTTGCAGCACAAAGGGCTTGAGGGGCAGTACTAATGGCACTACCTAAGTATGCCACTCCACACTTCAGGCCAATTCTTCTGAAGTACTTCGCATGATTCACCACTAAAGGAAATGTAATAGATCCTCCAAGATGGGGATTTGCCTCTGAAAGAGGCATACCACAAGAGGAATTGGATAGGGCTATATAACTGCAGGGAGAGAGCATGGATGTGAGAGATATTTGGAGGAAGGCCCAGAGGCTGTTAGTTGCTGTAAAGCAGAGCTAAGAGAAGGAGCTCCTTACTGACAGCTAACCTGATCCCCTCTGCCCACTGGTTTCCTGCCTTAGTCAAAAAGGCAGCCTGTCTCCCAATTTCCATTGTCCCCTTGTCCAACCCCATCACTCAATCTCATTCCAGGCAGAAAAGTATTATTCTTTGTTACACTTTTATGTTAATCTGTGTTAAAGTATCAAAATAAAGTATCATAAACATGCTTAATAATTGCTTTTTATTCTGTTTAGCACTAACTTCTGTATTGTTTGATTAACTACCAAGACAAAGCATTTCAAAGGATGCACATGACTTTTTCAGAATTTTCTTTGCCAGACAATTTCAAAACAAAAATGTTGTCCACTACATAGCACTCCCCTCCAGAAATGCAAACCATTCATAATGCTGGAGGATCTCTCTTGGGCTCATTGTAAAGTACTATGATTGCAAAAATTATTTGGCTTCATTTTACTATGCATTGTTTATACATTTCAAAGGATTTATTAAGGAATCAACTATGGTAGGTACCATATTGACTTTGACAAAGATGTTGTCCTCTAGGGTTAGGAAGGGAATAGTAGTCCACATGTCCTCAAAATCTGGGTCCTTGTACAGCATCATTGAGACAGAAAAATTCCCATCTTCCATGTTCAGTGTAATGGTTCTGCAAGCAATTTAGACAAATCAATGACGATGGGTAAATTTACACCGGAAAGGGACAGTGGGGCATAATCTCACAGAAAAAGAAATAAAGCTAGAATATTTTAAACATTGTCTAAATGTGTTTAGTAAGTGTGTTCTATAGAGAAGCAGCAATGAACTAGATGTACTTTACCCCTCTAAACCCTCAGAAGGGTGCAGCTCTTGGTCCTCACTGACTGCTTAACACCACTTCCAGTAGAGTTTGGTGAAAAAAACTTAGTTGGAACTATTTTCTGTGTGTGAACATGGTTCATTCAAACTGCTCTGGGAAATTCCACTGATTTCCCCAAAAAATTGTTTCAGAGGAAAACACGGGGAAACCAATTTTAACAATAATGAAACAACTCATTTTAATATTTTTGAAGAAAAATATATTCCATTGGTTAATGGTCCCATTTTTCATTTCACAATTTTTAAAACTGTGCATCATATAATATTTTTAAAAGGCAAAATCAAAACATGTAGCTGACAATACATTTTTCCAGATTTTTCTTTCACAGATAATTCCAAAATTTACAAGATTTTTTCCTATTAAGAACTAATATACAAGACAATTTCATGAAACAAAATCTCTGTCCTTAACATAGCTTCAGTGAGGCAAAACACCCATAAAGCTATAGTAGGGGTGTCAAACTGATGGCTCATGGGCCGAGCCATGTCATGTGCCCTGCGAAACTGGTAAAGCTGCTGGGGATTTGGGGGTTGGACACCTTGGGGTGGGGACTGCTGCCTAAGTCCAGGGCATGGAGCCCCACTGGACATCCATGTCTGCACAAGGGATGAGTGACAGTTGTATTAATTCCTGCTTGTGCTGCTCAACCTAGAACCATGTACACATCAAACCCTCAGGCAATTCAACTCTCGAAGACAACTTTATCCTATCCAGGGGTATTTTCAACAGGTAATGAACTGCCATGCTGCCTCGTGGGCCACCATCCTACTCTTCAGTGCTGGGGGTCTCTCAAGAGGAAAGGGGCATGGGCCAACATGTTTCCACTATTTCTAACTGGCAGAATGGACCTTTGGGGCCACTGAAACCATGATATAAATCAGATCTCTAATTTAAGACAGAACATGGCTTTTCCCTTGGCTGTTCCCAGATCAGGCTAGCACAGAGGTAACTTAAGTTCCTCCTCTCCAAAGGTTTCATCTTGAACAAAGTTAACTCATAAAGATGAGATCTGGGCCAACAAGGGCATCTTTTATAATACCCTAAATCCCAGAAAACATAACTATTTTGGTATGACCCAAATGACCAAGTAGCAAGGTGTTGTGTAAACAGTACCGGGGCTAGAAATTACTCCTGGCACGTCTTACAGCATGGGTCAGCAACCTTTTAGAAGCAGCAGACTAAATTAATGAAGCCTGGACCGATGGTAAACCACTGCTTCTAACCCAGCCACTGGTGCAGCTTTGCAAACCTGATGCACTTGGTTGGCAGGCTGGATCCAGTCACTGAGTCAGAGGTTGCTGACCCCTAATATTTCTTCTTACCTAGGCTTTTGGATTTTTTTCACCTTCAAATGTTCTCTTGTTTCAGGAAACAGAATTACTTATTCAAAAATAATTCAAAGAAACCAGGTTTGCCATGGAACACTATAGATTTACTATGAACCAGGCTAGTGGATGGGTGCCTAATGATTTTTTTCTGCCAGGTGATACATAAAACAGTTCCTAAGGAGTGAGGTTCCAGTTGAGCCAAATATTAAATACAAACTCAAGTCATTGGGTATAGAGTGGCAGGTGTTTAAAATGCTTTGCTGAATTGGGTCCCTAACTTCACTTTTTGAAAGAATAGGGTTGTCAGCTCCCATGTCCCAGACAGATTCCATTTCTAGTATTTAATGGTGAATTGATTAGCCTAGGCCCAGATCCACTTAACTTCTCGGCCACTCTAAGAGCTGCAAATGTATTCACGCATACTGCCAGACTCGGTCATAACTCCCATCTGTTGTGGGTGCTCCCTTTACTATGACTCACATTGTGCCATGCTGCAAGGGTTGGAAGGAGGTTCTGTGGCCCTAGAATTCATTGCCTCTTCCCTGGTCTTTGTATTTTGGGCTTAGACATTTGCCACAACGCCTGCAGCACACTGAGGCACTGCTTCAAGAAACAGTCTCTCTGACAGGAGGCCTGCATCTCAAGGATGCTGATAAATTTGTAAGTGATTTGTGTTACAGAAGAGCCTAAAAGTATCATAAGTGATTAAGACCCCACACTTTTAAGCACTGGGAATGCATAAAACAGGAGGCCTTAAATCACAGAGAAAGTCTATGACAAAGCTAGAGCCCGAAGTCTCTGAATCCCAGTCCATTGCGTTCTCCATAAGATCATCCTTCATTTTAACCAATCTGCCCCCCAGCCAGTATTACTGTACTGCGCACAACTTGTAGAGGACTAGCTATAGTTCTTCTGGATGAAAGGAGCTACATGAAGAGTAACATATCAGAGGAACAAGAAGTCTACCCTTGCTTAATTTGCCTCAGTTTTTAATGACTCTAGACAGTTTAATGGTACAAGATTAAAAAATAATGGATTTACCTGATATCAATACTGATCTTATTCTCCCCATTAGGCTGCTGCACCAGGTAATTAATAGGGTATCGGCAAGCAAATGTAATATTGATAAAGGTTCTTGTAATTATTTCAGAAATGTTACTCTGTATGGTGTTGGTGAAAAGAATATGTGTATCATCAGAAGCCTGAAAGGTGATAGAAAAAAAGAGTTGTTGACAGGTGCTGTTTATTCATAAACAGCCTAACTGGCATAATAAACCACAAGTATCCGGTAACTCTACCAAAGGTGGCTGCTGTTATTAATTATAATTACGTTTAGTTTTGTTGTGCTTAGAGGAACAGGACTCTTGCGCTAGACTCGAAGGGGTGATAATGCTAATTTTGTTCAAAGCATTAACAAATAAATAAATGACTCCAGCCACAAGCATGGGAAAGAATGCTGCCCAACTGACGGGTGATCCAGGAAGTTTTTGGAGAGCATTGGAGACAATTTCCCAGTGCAAGTGTTGGAGACACCAACTAGGGGCTGTGCTCTTCTTGACCTACTGCTCACAAATAGGGAATAACTGGTGGGGGATGTAGAAGCAGATGGCATGTTGGGCAGCAGTGACCATAAGATGACTGAGTTCAGGATCCTGACAAAAGGAAGAAAGGAGAGCAGCAGATGGTGGACTTCAGAAAAGCAGACTTTGACTTCCTCAGGAGTCCGGCAGGATCCCCCGGGGGGCCAGTCTGGTGGGGAAAGGAGTCCAGGAGATCTGGTTGTATTTTAAAGAAACCTCACTGAGGGGGCATGAGCAAACCATCCCAATGTGCAGGAAAAAAAGCAAATGTGGCAAGCGACCAGCTTGGCTTAGCCAAGAAATCGCTGGTGAGCTTAAACACGAAGAGGAAGCTTACAAGAAGTGGAAGCTTGGGCTAACAACTTGGGAGGAGTATAAGAATATTGCTCAGGCATGCAGGGATGAAATCAGGAAGGCCAAAGTGCAATGGGCGTTGCAGCTAGCAAGGGACATGAGGGGTAACAAGAAGGGCTTCTACAAGTATGTTAGCAACAAGAGGAAAGTCAGGAAAAGTGTGGGTCCCTTACTGAATGGGTGAGGCAACCTAGTGACAGGTGATGAAGAAAAGGCTGAAGCGCCCAATGCCTTTTTTACCTCGGTGTTCACTGGCAAGGTCAGCTCCTGTACTACTGTACCTGGCAGCACAGTCTGGGGAAAAGGTGAGCTGCCCTCAGTGGTGAAAGAACAGGTTAGGGACTATGTAGAAAAGCTGGATGCATACAAGTCCATAGGGCCAGATGCAATGCATCCAAGGGTGCTGAGAGACCTGGCTGATGTAATTGCAGATCATCATTGAAAACTTGTGGTGGTCGGGGGAGGTCCTGGACAACTGGAAAAGGGCAAATACAGGGCTCATCTTTAAGAAAGGGAAGAAGGAGGATCCAGGGAACTACAGACCAGTCAGCCTCACCTCAGTCCCTGAAAAATCATGGAGCAAGTCCTCAAAGAATCCATTTCTAAGCACTTGGAGAAGATGATGATTAGGAACAATCAGCATGGATTCACTAAAGGCAAGTCAGGCCTGTCCAATCTGATTGCCTTCCATGATGAGATAACTGGCTCTGTGGATGTGGGGAAAGCAGTGGACATAATCTACCCTGACTTTCTACCTTAGCAAGGCCTTTGATACCATCTCCCACAGCATTCTTGCAAGCAAGCTGAGGAAGTATGGGTTGGATGAATGGACTGTAAGGTGGATAGAAAGCTGGCTGGATTGTCAGGGTCAAAGAGCATTAATCAATGGCTTGATGTCCAGCTGGTATCAAGTGGACTGCCCCAGGGGTAAGTCCTGGGGCTAGTTTTGTTCAAAATCTTCATTAACCATCTGGAAGATAGGACAGATTGCACCCCCAGCAACTTCATGGATGTCATCAAGCTGGGGGTGGGGGTTCAGTACATACCCTGGAGGGTAGGGCTAGGATTTGGAGTGACCAGACAAACTGAAGGATTGGGCCAAAAAAATGTCATGAGGTTCAACAAGGACAAGTACAAAGTCCTACACTTAGGATGGAACAATCCCATGTACCGCCATAGCCACGGACTGCCTGACTGGCTAAATAGCAGCTCTACAGAAAAGGACCCCCCCTTCCTCCCCACACCCCACTATAGAAAGGATGTGGACAAGTTGGAGAGAGTCCAGTGCAGGGCAACTAAAATGATTCGGGGGCTGGGGTACATGACTTCTCAGGAGAGGCTGAGGGAAATGGGCTTATTTAGTTTAGAGAAGAGAAGACTGAGAGAGGATTTGATAGCAGCCTTTAAGTACCTGAAGGGTGGTTCAAAAAAGGATGGAGATAGACTGTTCTCCATGGTGGCAGATGGCAGAACAAGGAGCAATGGTCTCAAGGTGCAGCAAGGGAAATTTAAGCTGGATATTAGGAAAAACTCTCACTAGGAGGGTGGTAAAGCACTGGAACTGGTTACCTAAAGGTGGCAGAGTCTCCACCCTTGCAGGGTTTTAAGACATGGCTTGACAAAGCCCTGTCTGGAATGATCTAGTTGGGGATGGTCCTTGCTTTGAGCAGGGGGCTGGACTAGATCTGACTTCCTGAGGTTCCTTCCAGTCCTAACTTTCTATGATATTGTAAACAAAGTAAAACTATACACACATTGGCATTAGTAGATTCAACAGAAAGTAACTTAAGATTCACACATGCAGATTTAACACATTCACATATCTCATAGGGGGCATCAGTCAGGGGAGGAGGAGGGGTGGAGATGGGAATGAGGACCATGGGAGCAGAAGGGTGACAATTATGGGTGGTGAAGCAAGAGGGAGGGAACTGGGGGTTTAGAGTGGCTATCAGCCCCATATTCTGCCCTGCATGCATGCACACACCTACAGGGGTTGAGGGAGCTGCTCCCCTAGAAGTATTTGTGTATTATGTTGTTTGTGTGCAGGATCTGAATCCCTACTCCTTTGTGGGGAGTGGCAGTCTGAATCCCTTCCCTGTCCCCACATGGACCAAGATCAGATAGTGATATGGTGTGGGGGTTGTCAGGGTTCCTTCCCTGTCTCTGGTGAATGTATTAGGATATGGAGGAATCTTGTCCCAGTAAGGTTATCTAAACTCTAGTCCACATGTCTAGGAGGTCCCACACAGGCAGTGTTAGCAATTAAATACTGCAAATGTTTCAGAGCCTAGCTGTAATCCCTATTTCACTAAAACACGTGCAGAATGAGAAAAGATTACTTATGAACCACACAGTGTTCTTTACTTTCACTTAGCTACAGCAGCAGCTTTGCTGCAAACCTACATAATAATAACTGCTTTAACAATCATTTGTTCCTATAAACAGCATTTCTACTTTGGTTATAAAAGACAGGAAATTCAATGGCAAACTTTTACTGTAGAATTAAGATTGCCTGGGGATATTTCATACCCTCCCCAAACATAGCAAAACTCAAACTCTTAAGTTCCTCATTTTTAAGGAGTTAAGGCATACGTCCAGGCAACCATAAATCTTCTTTTTTTGAAGCAATACCTCAGTATGCCCATAATGCATATACCTGCTTTTGAACTGTACTGAACAGAGCAACCTGTGCCTGCTGTATAGTCAAACCCTTAACCTATTCTACAGGAAGGCACTACATCTGCTAAATTTTACAGTTCCTTTACCTGCTTTTATGGTCCCTTGACCTTACGCTCACAATGCCATATAACACTGTACTTTCACTTGTACAACTTTAAATTGACAGACAACACTTGTCTCCCACCTACCCTCTAACAATCTCCTATGCAAGGTCATTCCTGAACTCTGCTACTGAAAAAACTGCACAACGGAGCACTCAAATGAGGCTTATTATTGTTCTCTGTGTGCACATCATTATTATTTAGCTTTACATCCTGTAGCTCTTTGCTTTGATCACATACAGGGATCAAGGACATGGCTCACCACTGCCACAAAAGTCATATTTTCTCCCTGACTCTGAGAGCTCTGACACCCCACAGCACTGCCAAGATACCCCAACTGTACCACTTAATGCAGCTGCACCCAGTATAGTGAATGCTGGATAGCTAATTCTCACTGGCAGCTGCCAACTCCGGGTATGCAGTAATGGATCTATATGACTTAGAAAAAAGGCTATGGTAATACATAGAGAATTCCTTTTGTCACAAATTATTTTAAATTGTAAGCTTTCAGCAGTTTGGACTGTGTCCTTACAGATGTTTATACCATGCCTAGCACACAGGCCCTCTGTACAGATCCTATTATAATGTTTACTTACTGTTACTGTTCCTTTAAATACAGAAATTGATAATGCATGATATTAGCAGCTATAAAATCCTACATGCAGTTTATTCTTGGGTTTGCTCTTCAGACAAAGGAATCAGCCTCTCTCTACCCCATAGGCCTGATAAAAGTGTCAGCTGAAAAGTTTAAGCTATTTCCTTCTTTCATTCTCAATCTCCTTCAAAATGAAGCCAAGACTTTTATGGACTAACAATCTTCCTTTTTGTGTGCTGTGGATAACTGCATTATGCACAGGGGGTCATGGCATCTGATCTTATCTTCTGCCATATTAATGACGGTTTCTTCTTTGTCTATGCTCTAGAATCCACACATTTGTAGCTAAAGAATCTTCAAAATGCCCAAAAACTATTTTCTAAATGTACTGTATATCCTACTTTTATGCATATTGGATAAGTGCATAATTTACTTTGTATAAGACAACACCAGTCCTAACTTGCCTATTGCTTACATTTTAACACTAGCTTATCTACATATCAGGTAACAGCAAGAAACCTCTTAAGCGCCTAGCTTCTTTCCACCCTGTAATAGGGCTGAAAGAGACAGTTGTACAGATAGATAATGGCTATATTTGTGTATAGATGTACAATAAAGTATGTTCACTGAGGTGGAGCATCAGCTGTGTATTAAGACATGGTCATGAGGATGCCTGAAGATAACTAAGGCCCTGGTAGCTTGTATTCTAGAGGTAAATGAATGGGTGCAGGGGTGAGGCCAATAGTGCAATCAGAAACTAGCCAATGAGGATAGTTGTTAAGATAGCACAGATGTTTGATTTCTAGCAAACTTTCTATCAGAATAAAAGATTTTAGTCATTTGTTTCCCTATAACTTTGAATTCAAAATAGTTCTGGTCTTATTTTAAATATTTTGCAGTGAACACACATACATTTGCCCTCTTGTTTACAATACTTTGCTAAGTGTAATACATATTTAAAATGATAATAGTACTTATTGGTCAAATGAATGCAATTGGAGGAAGTTGGTTCTTGGTGAGATTCTCTCTCAGATTACCCCTACTGCTAATCCTTTGTATCTAAAGAGTTGTATGGACTATTCATAACAGCATTTGGCTTTTTTATAGCTATGGAATATTATCATCTTTTGCCTGTACACAGAGAGAGAGAGAGAGAGAGAGAGAGTGTGTGTGTGTGCGTGTGTGTGCGCACACGCGCGTATGGAGATGAAGAAAGAGACAGCGAGTGACCGAGAGAAAGCAAGGTTTTGCATTTGTCTGTAACAAAGCGAGTTTATACAAAGCCTGTATTATTAGTTTTTTAATAACTGACGAGAAGATCTTATAGGAAATGTATACTTTAACACAATAGACATGAGTCCTTGCTTCCACTGTCAATGTATTTCATGCACTAAGATATTTTACTACTACTAATAACAATAATAATTCAGATTACATGTAAAATTTATATTAACTCAATATTAGTATAAAAACTCTTGGGTCTTCCTTAATGTTTAGGATAACAATAAATTAATACTTAGCAATAAAACACATACAGAAAATAAAAGGCTGTTTGATTCAATGTTATATGTATATGTATTTGTTATTTTGTGGTTCTAGTTGATAATAACTGTAGCACACAAATTAAACTATATAAGATGACTTCTTCACAACAGCAGCATCTTGTGCATACATTACCATTTGAGTTCCACAGTCCGTGAAATTGTTTTTAATGCTGAACACATAAAGGTTTGCTGTCTCAGTACCGTGACATGCAGGGTCATTGAGGTGTAAATCAGAGATCTGAAATGAAATGACCATTTATTCTTTTCATTGTTTATTACATCTTTAGCAAAAGCCTATTTCATGTTTAGATCACTGCTACTTAAATCTACACAACACTGCAGGTCTCAAGACATAATATTTCACCTTCACCAGGAAAAAGAATATTAACTACATACTGCAACAGAAAGTTAGCAGTGACCAATCAGAATGTCAACCCTCCTCCTTGATTCTTTTCTCACTTAACTTTTCTCACAGAGTGTAATCAAGCTGTAAAATACCCTGGGGTCAAATTTTGGTCCTGAGTGCCCATGGACCACAAGGAAGAGGAGGCATGCATAATGCTTCCAAGGTTCTGGGGAAAGGAGCAATAAATAGCTGCACTTTTATACCTATATAAAAGATGGATAAACTGCTTCCCCAAATTGCTTTTCTGGAGCAGGGCCAAGACCGCACGTATCTGAGTAGACAGCACTGACATAATTCAGACACTAATACTGTGTGCAACTCTTTCCTACAGAATTGTACTGAGGAACGGTGGCAGATAAGTGTCATGTAATCTTTCCTCTAATTCTTTACTGCTGTAGAAGGCGGATGTAATTATAGCCTGCAAGTTCAGATGATCCCTTTTTGTTTTAAACATGCTGTCAAGCACTGCTTTCTAATTTACTGCATTCACTCGAATCCAAGATGAGTGTTTTCCCCCCTCATTCAACCTAGGGAAAAAGAAGGCTTTTCTTGAATTTGAGCATGGTCAGGGCAGGCAGCTGCTGTGGGTCCTGCTAGAAGCTGATAAAGCAGGCTGTCACCTATGAAAGCTTACGCCTCTCTGAATTAAGTAGTCTCTAAGGACGCCTATACATGAGCGCAAGTCTGCTGCTGTGTGGTAATTACTGCGCTCCAGCCAGTCTCTGCATCTTGTGTATCAGCATCCCCACGCTTCAAAATGGCAGCAGGGGCACTTTATTTAAAGCTCCTAAAGCCTCCGCCAGCATTTTGAAGTGTAGAGATATTAATACATGAGACACTCCAGGTGCTTTAATTAGAGCGACTCCAAAAGCCCGCCCACCCCCTTCTCCCAAAGCACATGTATGCCCTAAGGTGTCACCCTGCCCTGTCTTCTGTCTGATTTCAGATTAATGTGGCTAAGTATCTCTGTTAGTGTCAACAGAAAATCACATCCCAAGACTGCAAACTATTGAAACCAAAGAAGAGCAGTATCCCCTCTTAATAAGGGAAACAGTAAAAAAAATCCTGCTAACTCCTCATGATGAACCAGAAACCAAATGGAAAACAATAATTTTGATTATTCTTTCTGGAAGAAGTCATGCGACATCATGCAACATCCTCCTGTTCCACTTGCTGTAGCTATGCTCATTGATACCAGGTAAGAATCTGCTCCCATTATGCTTTACAAAGTCAAACAAAACTTAAAAATGGAGGTTTAATATCTGAATTAATACCAGTGAGCAGGTGACCACAGGTTTATAAATTGGGTCTTGGCACTTCACCCAGTTCCCTGGCTGGTGTAATCTCCCTTTTGGGACATTACAACTCAGTATCTGGGTAACTTAAGCATGAACAGTATTAAAAGGAGCCAAGAAGATAAACGTTTATGTTTAATTTGTAACTGAAAGTGAGACATATGACTTCAAGTACCAATGCAAGTGTAGTGTGAATAATAGTTTACAGGGCCAAATATAAATGACTTCACAGAAGCTCCCATTGACTTCAGCAAGAGCCATGATAGTAGAGCTGGCTCATCACTTGTTGTCTATTAAAATCTAGGAGCTTGCACTGTATCACAACTGTATGAAATGCAGGTATAGATAACACTTTCTGAGAGGAAATGATGCTACATTCAAGAAAAAATAAAATTTCCATATTTGAAGACACTCTTTTAAACAAAGCATCTGAGCAGTTTGATGTACAAGTGGAACTTACAAGGATTGGAGGGTTCTTGCTTAGGAAAAAATCACTTGGAATCTCCACCTCAATCTGGTCTTTAGTACAGGTGATGGTTTCGTTGATTTCTGTATAAACATTAAAATTAAAGTTTTGTAACTCAACTTGAGTCTCAGTACATTCCAGTCTATATTTAACAAAACATATTCTACCTAAAAGTGAACAAGAAGGATTTCTTGGTTTAAATACTGAAACTTCATTCATGTATATACATATACACATATATACTACATTTATGTGAATCCAAGACAAGGTTTCTCCCCCCACCGATCGGCATGAGGAAAAAAGTGCTTTGTCTTGGATTTGAGGGGAAGAGGGAACAGGCAGCTGCTGCAGCTTGGACACTAGCCCCAGAATCTGGGTTAGGGCTAGAATCAGAGCCACAGTAGTTGCCTCTGCATGCCCACTACAGCCTCTACCTGCTCTGCCTGCCCCTGCAGCTTCTGTCCCCTCCTTCCTACCATCAGGTACAGCTCTTGCTCTGGCTCTGTTCCCTCCCAAGGCATAGATCCCATGGAAGCTCCATCCCCTGCTTGGCTAATGAATAGCAGGACAGCTCCAGTCCCAAACTTGCTGTGTGGATGGGCAGGGACCATGCTACTATGTACCCTGTGTTACAGAGGGAATGGAGCCAGAGCTGCATCTGACAGTAGGGGGACCAGAGGCTGCAGGGCAGGCACCAGAGGCACAGGTGATGGGTTCACTGCAAGGGGAATATGTGGTGGGGGAGGGAGTAGAGGGAGAGGGGGTTGGCCTGACCACCCCAGCCATCAGCCCCCCTGCAGCTGTCCCTGCTGTAGCAGTAGGGGGAAAGGAGGAAGCAAACTTACAATGACCCTCTGATAATTAGATGCTATACCTGGGAAACGATAACAAATGTATACATTTTTCATATGTAGAATTTAATTACTGGGGAGGGATCGTCAAAGCTATCTTGGATTTGGGTAAATATGGTACATACATATATACATATCTCCCTATACATAATATAACAAAAATTAAGAAAAGGGCAGGTACACCTGAGAACCAAAACAGAATTTGTAGCCCTGCAGGAAATGTGGACATTTGTTTTTATCCTGAGTTTGAAATATCAATCTTTTTGGGGGGACTGGGAGGTTTTGAAGACAAAAAAGGTTGAGAAGATGACAAAACAAAAGATTCTAAATCAAAACTTTTGGTTTCCAGCGAGTTGGACGTTAAACTTCAACTGCCCAAGTTATCCAGCGTCTCTCAGATGCTGTAGTTCTGGCATTTCATGGCCCCCTGTTCTTCCCACTGGAGCAGGCTCCTAAGCTGGACTTTATCCCACATGAGGAGGCACTGCAGTCATTTGACTTTGACAATGCCCAGTGCAGCTGGATCAAAGGAGACAGTGCATTTTGAGAGATGTAGCCCAGCCCAAGAACCCAAGGGTACATACGGAGAGAGAGGTGGGGAGTGTAGTGCTGTGACTGCACTCCCTTCCACAGAATAGCACAAACTCTTCAAAAGAAATACCAGTGAGCCCACTTCCCTGGAACCTAAATGCCTGGGTCCACTGAGGAGTCTGGGCAGCAGGAACCTTGCTCAGACTAAAACGGTAGAGGGTGGACAGGAAGATGGGCAGGCTCAGCTAGAGCACCATGCAGCACCTAGTGAAGCAGCTCAAGCTGGAGACAGCTGGGGCACAGAACAAAGTAGGGAAGGGGACTGGGAGACAGGGGGTGGGATTATTGTAGCACTGGCCACATCTGCCACCGCCTCCCCCCAACTTTCAAAATCCTAGATCTGCCTGTGAAAGAACCTTACCTTCAGGCTAGAATGGAGACATGCAGCACACAAACTACAAGGCAAGCTGATGTGAAACTTTCTTTTAGTTCAGTTTAACAAGCTGTAACAATCTGATTAGTGTTGAAATGATCCAAAAACAAAATATTTAATTACCATTATTCACAACATAAATGGAAAAATGCCAGCAAGACTGAAACTTTTCCTCTGAAACATGTTCAATTTGCTGTAATTGTATTTGTCATTGGAAAATTATTTTGACACAAAGTTCCTGGTCAGTTCTAGGAACCAAAGTTCTCTGTTTACAAATTATCTCCCTCCATTCCTGTCCTTTGTATTCAAATCATTCTCTCCATTTTATACACTGCTCTGTGCATGTCCTTCCACAGCATTTATAAAGTGATCTTGGGCTCATGAAAGCTTATGCTATATAAGCCTGATTTAGTTAGTTTATAAAGGTGCACATGTATCCTGCCTCTCCAACTTACATAGTCACATCTAGGGACTTCAGGAGACTCAGACTGGTGTGTGGTTTTACATGCCATATGGTAGAAGGCACTGTAGGACAAGCTGAACTTTAAATTATTAGTTTTAGTCTTAATATAAAAAAAAAATTCTCTCTTTGGGCTTTCTTCTTGCTCTTATCTAAAGTGCATGTTTTCTTCACATATTCTACATTGTTCCATATACAGTCAATGAAGAATATGGATTTGAGATCTGAGTCAGATACAAACCTTTTATCTTTTGTGTTAGTGTATTGTTCATTCCTTTTAGGAATATAATCTTCTCTTTGTAAAAACACTTGCATAGTATCCATTCTGTTGTGCCTTTATGCCAATCTAAGTATTATTTGGGGGAAACTTTACAATTTAAATTATTAATACAAGAGATAGTAATGCCCCAGTGAGTCAAAGTTTACATTAGAATCTTTAATCCTGTCTTTTTTTTTTTTGAGTGAATCATCCCATCTCCATCATAGTTTATTCATTAAACCTAATTTAGCAATTGCCTAATTCACAGACAGAAATAATAAGGAAAGTAGTAATTACGTCTTTATCATCTAAAGGTTCTTAATGATCTTTGGAATAATAAACCAGCACAACTCCTTTCTCTATAGTATTAACATGTGTACAGTAAATCTTACCTACATTCTACCAAACACCTTTGATGTTAAAGCGTTTTTATTATTTTTCTTTAAACATAACCAGTATTTTAAAAAAGGAAGAATAAATTCTGTCATCTTGAGAATCTTTCATTGAACACTCCATTCTAGGGGACACTTTCAAAACATGTCCTCACCCAACATGCACACATACCAATTAGTTTCTTAATAAATAATATTTTAAAATATGGAACCCAAACCTGAAGTCCTTACTTAGAAAGAACTGCTGTTTGCCTGAGCAAGGACAAAGTAAAACCTGGTTTAAAATTAGCACCACAGTTTGGGACCAATCTTAAATATTTCCAGTGTCCTTCACACATCAGTGCAGCAATAAGGCACATCAAGGTTTGTACTGTCTAGACTATTGGGGCCAGTTTTCAGTGTAATATGGAACAAAGAAGCCAAAGACAGAATAACTTCAGTCACTTGAGGTACAGCAAAAGGATAAGAAAAATCCATTAACTGTAAAACAAGATGATTATTCTTAGTTTCATTAGCTCTTCTCAAAGTACAGACTGTCAGGAACTGGATACTGGGTGAGTCTACACGAGATACTTACTGTGCATGGGCCTAATAACACTGTGCAGTAGCATGTAATGGCAAAAATCATGCTAACAGCCTACTGCACAGTGTTATTAGGCTAATGCGCAGTGTCACTAAATGTGCCAGCGCTACTGTGCAGTAACTGTAAGTACTGTGCATTTAGTTTAGTGCTTTATTAAGGAAGTACTAAACTCACAGTATCTGAGGTGAATTAATGAATGTGTACATGCGCACACTGGTTCACAATGGGTGATGACAGACATGCCGCTCCCCACTAACTCGTGGCACTTTGCAAGAAACACCATGAGTTACAGCAATCCTCTGGACCCAACAGATGTTTGCTGTTGGGTCCCGGGGCTTGGGAGATCGAGCTGCAGTTTGGAGCACCTGCAAGTCTGAAACTGCTCTTCCCTAGCCCCATCCCTTCCCGCTCTCAGCCCCAGTTCTATATTCAGGATGGGAGTGGGGAAAAGAAAGGGGAGGGAACTCAGTTCAGGGTTTACCTAACCTTCACTGGAGAGTTGGGTGGGTGGACTGGAGTGCCCCACCTCCAGTCCACCTACCCCACCTTCCAGAGAAGGCTGCGTAAACCCCAGACTGAGCTGCCTGCCCTCCCATCCTGAAGATAGTGCTGGGAACAGGGCTGGGCTGTGTAAACCAAGCCCTGCTCCCAATGTGTGCTGACAGGTGTTAATGAAGGTGTTCCACTTTGGAGTGCCTTCATTTGAACACTTATGTAATGAGGGTTCAAATTGTCATGGGATTGTACCCTTTTACCACTCTGCAGCTGTCCACTTTGGTAAGAGCACAGCTCTGGAGCGCTTCAGAGGTCTGATTGCACAACAAAATGACACTTGTGTCAGTACCCAATGATCCTGAATGCTTAATCACACTGTCTCAATCTGTGAGAAATTTGCATTGTACCATTATCGGCTCATTCTATGTATGAGACATTTTGAGAGACGCCTGCAGGGCCAACATCATTCTAACAGAATCAAGAAGAATGAAGAGCAGCTTTTATAGTTTCATAGTAGTTTGGGGTCAGAAGGGATGTGAACAGATCTAGTCTGACCCCCCGCCACTGGTAGGACTACACGCTGGGATCACACGACCCCAGCCAGGTGTTCGTCCAACCTCTTTTTGAATTTACCCAAGGT